ATTGCTGCTCAGAGAAGTTACATAATGGTTTCCACAGTCATGTTGTGAATAAAATATAGGATTACAATCTAGGTCTTTCTGACTGTATGCCTACTGTCTGTTACTGCATGCATGCAGGCTGAATGATAATAAGTGAGAGGAATACTGGGCATGATAAACAACCTAGATTTTAGGAACTCAGATTTTACAAAGTTGACAAGAAAATAAATGGACATAATTACGGTATGAATCCCTAAAATAGAAATGAGCTAAAAGTTTAGAATATTATCAAAAAAGCAGTTTTGTCACATGATTACAAACAAATACTGAAGAAGACAAAGAAGACTAAAAATCAGCACAGATACACTGAGGATTTTCAGATGAGCTCAGGTTTTTAAAACCATGAACAAAAGGTAGAAGGAAGAGCACATGACTATGGATGAATGTGACTATCATAGACTTTTCAGAATAAAATCAGAAAATCTGTATCTTCACATGAGTTGACTTATAAAATACATGGTGAGGCTGAAAAGGCTTTTTAAAAATTTAGGGCTTGCCAAAACCGGTTTGGCTCAATGGATAAAGCGTCGGCTTGGGGACTGAAAGGTCCGGGGTTCGATTCCGGTCAAGGGTATGTACCTTGGTTGTGGGCATATCTCCAGTAGGGGGTGTGCAAGAGGCAGCTGATTGATGACTCTCACTGATGTTTCTAACTCTCTATCTCTCTCCCTTCCTCTCTGTACAAAAAAAGTAAAAAAAAAACATACATACATAAAATATATATATATATATATATATATATATATATGTATGTATGTATGTATGTATATATATATGCTAAAAATTTAGGGCTTAACAAAGTCAAAGAAGTGACATATCCTGCTCAGGACTAACAGAAAAAGCCAAAGGGTAAAAATGAGTAAGAATTCACAAATCAAATCTGGCTTTCATCTTCTCTGTGAGGAAAATGATCTTACTTGTATTGTTGGCATGGATAAAACAAAGATTTTCAGGAGGAATCTAAAGCCCTAAGAAAGGGAAGAAATTGTAAGAAGATACCTACTTTTTTCAAGTGAAGTTTCTTCAAAATGACCTCTGAGAGGACAAAGAGTTAGACTGCCAGTGGTGTTTTCCTGCTTTAGTCCCTAGTACTGTTTGCTCTGAAGCCTGGAAGACTGATTCAGTAAGTAAAAATGGAGGTACCACTGAAGTATAAACAATCAGATGGGTTGGGTTTTGAGCTAAGGTTGTATAGTTGGTAGATTTAGTCCAAAGCACCAAACAAAAGGTAGTTACAGAAAAAGAATAAAAGAAAAAGAGGCTAGGAAAGACATTTGACCAAGCAGTGGTGACAATCATGAGAGTCTAGTATCAGTCCTACAAATTACTACATGAGTGTTAGGCTTATTTTGTGATGTTGGACGTATAATGGAGAATAGAAAAATAAATTGACCCTGAAGAACATTAATAGATATTGCTGAAAACTATAGACCAGAAGAGACCTAGAAAACACCTAAAGTTGTCTATATTTGGGAGATTGGAAAATGAGAACAAATGTGGGGCTGATTGTTTTAAAACTCTGATCCTTCTTCACTGCATGGCATCTTTTTAAAATTTCTGTTTTTAGCTCGGTTTAAAAAAACTATTTAAAATATAACATTTTATAATTTTTATTATTAGAATAAATAATACTATAAACAAAAACTCTTTAAAAAAATGTTCAAGTTTCAAATGTCTTAAATGTAGTTTTTTATAGTGCAAAGTTAAGCAATTTTAATCTGAAAACCGTATTAGAAAAACAGGAATATCTGTCAAAAATAATTCAATGATACTGTCAAATAAAGACAACAGAAATGTTGACTTTCTTTCTTTCTTTTTTTTTTTTTTTTAATCTTTATTGTTGAAAGTATTACAGATGTTCCCTCCCCTTTTTTCCCCATTAACCCCATTTACCCCACACTTTCCCTTCCCAGGCCTTCACAACACTATTGTTTGTGCCCATGGATTCTGCATATCCTATATAATAAAATAGAAACATGAAAATTGACTGTACCTCTGCTATGATCATCAGTCAATCAGGAATGAGTATGCAAATCAACCCAACAAAGATGGAAGGTTGATTTGCATACACAAGCACTGAGCAGTCTGGGTCTGAAGAACATTCTTGGGACCCAGGTTGCTCCTAGCCTATAGGCCCATGCATAGGCCCAGAGTGGCTGAGGTCCCAGAACGCCTCTGGCCACTATGGGCCTATGGGTGCAGGTACCAAGTGGCTGGGGATGAGGCGGCTGCTTGCACTTGTGCTGGTGCCATGCGGTGGCCCCCCGAGGTCAGCACCCCCCCCCCAAGCCCAGTGCCCACAATATGGGGCTGGCTGTTCGTCTCAGGGGCATGCCCCACTCCTTGTCATGGGGACACACCCCTAACCCAATGGACACAACACAGGGGTTCTCTGCCCGTGAGCTGCAGAGGAAACACCTTTTCTTTTTTTAAAAAAATATACTTTATTGATTTTTACAGAGAAGAGGGGAGAGGGATAGACCGTTGGAAACATCAGTGATAGAGAACATCAGCTGACTCCTGCACACTCCCTACTGGGGATGTGCCTCCAACCAAGGTACATGCCCTTAACAGGAATCAAACCTGGGACCCTTCAGTCTGCAGGCTGGTGCTCTATCCACTGAGCCAAACCAGTTTGAGAATAAACACCTTTTCTGACTGTTCATTGGCTAAGCTTCCTGTAGGCTGCCACTTGCAGTGTTCTTGGTAACTTGGGTTATAAGAATTCAAGGAGGTGATCTAGGATTTTCCCACCACACTCCTGGAGGAAAAAATGAAGGTCCGCTGCTGGAGGGGCTAAGAAATGTCATATCCTGCCCTAGCCGGTTTGGCTCAGTGGATAGAGCCTCGGCCTACAGACCACAGGGTCCGGGTTTGATTCTGATCAAGGGCATGTTCCTAGGTTGCAGGTTCCTCCCTGGCTGGGCCCAGATCAGGGCTCATGCAGGAGGCAACCAATCAAAATGTTCCTCTCACATTGATATTTCTCGCTTTTTCCCTCTCTCTTCCACACTCTCTAAAAATCAATGGAAACATATCCTTAGGGGAGGATAAGAAAAAAGAAAGAAATATCTTAGCCTATGAAAGATACATCTTGAAAATGCCTAAAGAAAGTTGTCATTTTTTCATGGTGAAGGGATTTCATGGTGGTGTCTGTGCTGATGAAAACACCTTGGTGGCCATGGAGGCTGGCAGTGGCTGCAGCAGCAGGGTGATGGGGCTGGTACCTTCCCCTGATCAGCCCTGTCGCCTCCCACAGAGGGAGGCAAGACTGTGGCTTAGGCCCACTTCCTGTAGCCTAAGCTGGGCCTAAGCTGTCAGTAGGACATCACCTGAGGGCTCTCAGTGTGTGAGAGGGGACAGGCTGGGCTGAGGGACACCCTGCCCCCCCCCCCCCCCATGCACAAATTTCATGCACCAGGCCCATATCTGTATATATAAAAAAGGCTAATATGCTAAATGTCCATCTGACCAGTAGCTGTGACACACACTGACCACCAAGGGGCAGACACTCAATGCAGGAGATGCCAAGGTGCAGAGACTTGGCAGAGGCAGTTCTTGGGTAATACACCCCAGATATGAGAGAGCACAATTCCTTGTGGGGCCATGCTGTTCCACCTTTGGCCATGGGTTATGTTGGTGCTGGAGTACTGTCGGCTGGAATCTGTTTAACTGCACATTTGCATTTGTGTTCCACACCCTGTATGACAGCAACTTTGCAGAGTGCACTCTTGCACTTGGGGACACCTCGGGGAATGTTGGAGAGCTGGTTTTGGCCTGATCCCTGCAGGCCAGGCTAAGGGACCCCACCTGCCAGAGGGATCCCACTCACTCCATAGATACCCTTTGAGCCACAGCGCCACCCCAGGTGTGGCCGACTGAGGAGGGATCACAAGAGGTTGGCTCCAGGGTGTGTCTAGCCCATCTCACCCAGTCCCTCCACACTGGCCACCTTCTAATTAATTTCCTTTTAATGTGCACAAATCCATGCACTGGGGCACTAGTGTGCATATAAATTCCCTGGTTAATCTCTCCCTACCCTTACCATCCCTCTGAGATTTGGCAGTCTGCTCCATGCTTCTATGTCTTTGGATTCATTTTCTTTCAACAGTTTATTTTGTTTATTAGATTCCATATATGAGTGAGATCATGTAATACCTGTCTTTCTCTGACTGAAGTGATGACTTGCTTTCAGAGAGCCCTGTGATATGGATTCCTGGATTATTATAATGAGATGCAAATACAGCAATCTCACCTTGGATAATATGTTCTAATTTCTCTAGCTTGTTCTTTCCTCATCTATTCAACAAGAGGCATAACTCTGAAGAATTTTCTTTATTGCATTTACTCATCCCTCTCTTTCCCAGCCACCATATTCTATAGTTTTCTGAGGTAAGCTCAGGATCAAAATAATATAAAAACAAATTAAACACATGCAAACCAGAGGAGGCCTATTGATCTGTGACATCTTAAAATCTCTTATTGGCAGTTGATAGTCTATTTCAAGCCCCTAGATGGGGTTGTGAGTCTAAAAGGAATGTCAGGTGACAAAGAGAGAAACGAGGGCCCACAGGTTAGACAAAGAATGAGGTTCAAAGAGAAGAGATCACAAGTGTGACTAGAGATTAATGGTCTAATTTATCTCAGCTTTCACTAGGTTCAAGAACTTGTTATTTAATTATTTGCTTTTACTAACTATTGCTTTTTTTTTAAAAAAAATATTTTATTGATTTTTACAGAGAGGAAGGGAGAGGCATAGAGAGTTAGAAACATCCATGAGAGAGAAACATCGATCAGCTGCCTCCTGCACCCCTCCCCCCCACTGGGTATATGCCCTCAACCAAGGTACATGCCCTTGACTGGAATCAAACCTGGGACAATCCAGTCCTCAGGCCAAAGCTCTATCCACTGAGCCATATCGGTTAGCGCTAACTACTGCTTTTTAATATACACCATATAACCTCTCAGCTCTCCAACTTAAGTTTAAATTGCAATGTTGCTTTTTAAGCTTTAAAGTCTCCATTTTCTTTTTTCATTTTTGAACCTTGGATCCAGCTTCTTAGAAATGGCTCCAAGGGCATCTTGTCAGCATCATTCAAGTCTAAACTTTCTGAAATAATAATTAATACAAAAAATTTCCTTGTTTCTCCAGGAGAGCACAAGAGAACCCCCAAATTATAGCTTGCCCGTACTAAGAACTGTGATGGGCCTAAGGTTTTATCCTGTTTGAAAACTCACAAGTTCGCCTGCAGTGTTTCACCAATGCTGGAAGACACAGGATTTGGTTAGTCATAGCATAGCTGTCAGCCTAAGCTCTGTGTTTCTCATCTTTTTGACAGATGAGATCCACACCTAAGTCAAAACAATTTATCACTGAAATAGAGATGTTAGTTACTTAAAACAATTATATTTATACCAACAGTTTAGTTTAATTTTTTTAAGACCATTACAATGCAGTATTCATGGGAATGTTGGGCCATCCTAAAAATGATTAAATGTAGAGATTTTCACTGTCCCAGACATTTAGACAAAATATCTAACTAGTACACCTGGCCAGGCCCCATGTACACCATATAGACCTATTTCAAGCAGAAATTTCCAAAAAGTTTATTTCTAATTTTAACAAAGGAAATGTACAGGGGTTGGGCAAAAGGAGTTTATAGTTGTTCGTGTGGGAAAAGACATGCAGACTATGATTATTATAATAGAGTTATTAACTCAAAAGAATGTCTCAATGGCACATTCTTCTTAAGAAGAAGACAAATAATACAAATAAATAATAAATGAATAATAATTCAAGAATAAACTCAGTGTTTTGCGTATTCACAATGGTAAACCTACTTTGCCCTCCCCTGTATATTCCCAATGAAGCAAATTCTGTTATCTCTAGGCACATGTAAACCACTCTCAGAGACTCAGGAAGAAAGATTGGTGCCTGCATTTTAATACTCATAGATAAAACATTAACGTAGAAACTTCAATGCTTAGTTACCTCTTTAGAAAATTCCAGTAAAATAGAGTTTTTCTTAGTTCCAGTTATACTTCCTTTATCATTTGAAACCTTTGGTGTTCATGCAATGCTCTTTTGAGGCCTCTGTGTCTCTGGCAACTTAGAGATTTCTATCATTTGTCTTCAAGGGCAGAGTTCCTTGAAAAAGATCAGAAAATTTCCCTTGCCACCCTTAGACTCCCTCTTCCCCTATTCCTCCTTGATCAAGGATGGAATCCAGAACCTGTGAATCAGTCCTCAAGAAATCTGACTCAAGTTCCTGACCTGCCTTCTAGTATGAGTGATATCAGATTTCCTGGCCCAGACCAGGTCTGGGGCCAGGTCTACTTGGAAGTCCCTGGGTTCATTGCCTGGAGATCTGTCCCAGTAATTCCAGTGTCCCGAATGCTCACAGCCACCCTCTCCACTGAAAGAAGGGGAGGGAAGTTTCTTTTCATTTTGTCCTCCCTAGTGTCCTCCCACAGTTCCTGGGGCCAAGAAGGCACAGAGATGATCTGTTCCAGCTTCACTGCATTCCAGATTTTCTATGCTTATTATATTTCTCCAGCTCTTCAGGATCTTATAATATCCTAAGATAGACTCCTTGTTCTCTGCTTTCCATGCCTTTATATTTTTGGTCAGCACCCTGGGCACCTGAGAAGACTCTTGTCCTCATGTCTCCAACACTTCACCCCCGCTGATTTTTCAAATAGATCAGAAATAAACTGGCCTGTATTTAGCATCATCTTTTTTTAGGGGGAGGACTCCATCCAGGCACTATTCTAGTTCTCATATCCTCTTCAGTGCAGGCCTGTGAGCTATGTTACCTGGTACCACAGAGAGTGACCGACTGCTCACCTTCCCTTGGGAGATGGAGGGAGAGGCTGAACAATCCGAGCATCTGTCTGCCAAGGTTGTTCAGAACCCTTACACAGGAGTAAGATAGTCAGCAGCCATCTTGCCCCCGGGCAGGATTCCAGGTACATGATTTTATTAGCAATCTTGGCTGGTTCAGCGTTAGTAGGAGAATAGGATCATCGGTAGGATCTATAGAGCCTTTTTGAGAGTTAGAAAAAGGTTAGGCTGATGTGGGCCTGATACAGCTGTGTGCAGTACTCAGCCTGGTAAGTAGATTTCAGCTCCCACACATGCTCTTGTCCATGCATGCCTGGGTAGGGCTCAATTTAAGCTATCAGAATGTAGACACTTAGTTAATTTTGTGCTACATTATTACAGTAATGACAGGATGTACTGTAGTGGTGAGTTTATTTTAGAGGCAGAATTCATTTTAATAGTTTTACAAATGACTCCAATCTTATATTTATGGAATCATTAAAAGTCTGAAGTAATCACCTAAATACCTCATTGAATTTTATGGAGGAAATGGTTTGCTTTAGTGTATTCACAGAGTTGGGATTGATGAAGGTCTTAGGACATATCCTTATGTGTAACAAAGTCCTATGGCATTTTCAAAGCATTTGGATGACTTGATATTCTTTTTTCTTTATTATAATATAAGGCTACTTTACATAACATAGGTTGTGTCTGTTTTATTGTAAACATATCTTCTTTTCCCATATTCAAAACATTTAGGGAGGCCTAATTTGTACATATATGAAGTTAAATCAGCAGGGATAGCAAAATTATGAAAAGTTAAGTGTGCAGTTATAAAACAAAATCATTAACATAGTGAACACATCTATGATAAAATGATGTTATGACTTATTTTACGCAAATATAAAAATAAGAAGCTATTCCTTACATCATATAATTGCACAATAAGGATAATACATCAAGGATTTTAAGGACCTGGTTTCTGAATATTGTTGGGAAAATTTCCAAAATATATTAGCTACCTAACACCACAGATTCTTTAAAAAATATGTTTTATTATTTCAGAGTGAGGAAGGGAGAGTGAAAGAGGATGGAAACACCAATGACGAGAGAGAATCGTCATTGATAGGTTGCCTTCTGCACACCTCCTATTGGGGATTGAGCCCATAACCCAGGCATGCGCCCTGCCTGGAAATTGAACCCTGACTTCTGGTTCAGGAGTCATGGCTCAACCACTGAGCCACAGTGACCAGGCTAACACAACAGATTTTGAAGCAATTTGTTATATATTTGATTGGCTGTTTCAAGGAATTAAAATGTACATTAAAAACAAAAAAGAAAGCCATTATCCTGAAACTCATTCTGCCTCTTTAAACAGTATACTAGGACGGAGCACTGATTAGGAAATTTAATATAGGTGAGTTGAAATCTAAGCTGGGTATGAGCATTAACAGCTTGAACAACTATGCAGAATGCTTTTAAATTAAGCACTTTTTGATAGTTCCAACTGTCTTTGCAATTCATTATTCTCCACTATTCATTAAAAGAAATCTCTAAAAGCAGACTGCATGCTGGGATGCCATAAAATCACACTTTTAATCAGTCTGTAATGGCAAGGGTAACATTTTGATATCTGCAATATAAAAGCAATGTACCTCAGGAAGATGGGTTTAAGGTTTTACCAACATAGCATGGGGTAACAGTTATTGTTTTTCTTTTCTTTATTTTAAAATTGAATAATGTTTTTATTTTAAATAAAGAATCAGAATTGACTTTTTAAAATTGTGTTAGACTCCTGGCTATGAATATATACTAATTAATGAAGTGAGAAAGAATGCTTTATTTTTAGTAAGAACTAGAGATGAAAGACAGCTCAAATTAATTTTATAGTAGTTCAGGTATGTGCATAGCTATGATCAATAATGAGCAATGATATAGAGGGAGGCATTATTCCTGTTCTCACCACTGTGTCCCAGCTGCCATTGTATTCTTAACAATGGGAATAATGTATTATTAGCAGTGAGGCATATGACAGGGCAAAAGGGTGGGGGAGGTTGTGACATAACAACTTCAATGTAGGTATTGAAAGAGGATGTGAGAAGGTCTAGGCCCTAGACTCAAAAGGAAATAGTACAAAAGGGCAAAGCAAAAGAAGGAAAATAGTCTGGGAAGGGGAGCAGCCTTGGACACACAACATTGTCATTTCATTATTTATTTTCCTGAAAGTATGCAGAATTCCTGCTTTCTAGGAGAGGTTTTAGTAATAGGAATTCCTTTCAGTGATTTGAAGGTGAATAAACCTTTTCTTTCCTCTGGGAGGGGCTGATGAACCACCCTCTCCTCATTCATTTACTTTATGGAAGAGACCAGGCTTTTAAAAGCCAACTTAAGGTCTAACATTAGAGTTGAGCAATTTTGAAAATTTTCTTCTTCTTCTAGGATGTAATCAAATCTATCTTAAGAATTCATCAAGTCTTACAAGGCAAATATTTACAAACAGAAATATTTCTGAAAAGTATCAACATTACTCAAAGTAAGTGTGGTATGGCTCCCTGGAAAGAACCCAGAATCTGAGGGTCAGGAGACATGACAGTTCTGGGTATGCTGCTGGCTGGCTGGTGACTCGCCATAAGTTATACAGGACCTCAAATTCACTTTTTTTTTAAACCTAAAAAATAAACAGATTGGCTATTTTTTGAAGTGAGAAAGCTTATGAGCTCCCATGATCCTCAGAGGTGCTTCGTCATTATCTGCTTTGGAGGCTCAGTATCAGGGCTGTCCTCCACTGAGCCTGCTGCTAACCCAGATTTTCAGTTTATAGATGTCATATATATTAAGTCATATAGATTTGAAAAAAAAAGTAATCCAGCTAAGAATGTTTGAAGACTACTAAGTTAAGATATAAAATAAAATAAACTGAAAATTCCAGAATTGTATTTGTCTGGAGAGGAAGGACGTTGTCTCTTTGTCTTTTTACTATCTAGCACATACCAGGTACTCCACCCATATTTGTTATATGAATGCAATAATTGTAATGTGCACATGGGAAGGAAATATGCAGGGCACCATATCTGTGTTGGCACCAGTTTCCACTCCATATAACTTGTGACAACCAGAAGTGAAGAACAATATGGGCTGTGTTTGATAGGCAACAGCTACCTTTATTGAATTTGTGTATATAATCAGAAAATCAGTCTAAGAACAAGGTATCTCATCTAATAAAAGAGTAATATGCATATTGACCATCACTCCAACACTAAGGTGACTCCAACACTAAGGTTTAAAACGGTGTCCCACGGCGTTTTAAAAAAGTCCTGATTTTTGGAAAGAATCTTTTAATTTTTTTGGACTTCTTTAAAACACCATGGGAGGCGGGACAAATTGTTAAAAGTTGGGACTGTCCCACCAAAAGCGGGACATCTGGTCACCTTATCCAACACACAAGATGGCTGCCCCCATGTGGTCAAAGATCCTGCCCCATGCGGACACAAGATGGCCACCACAAGATGGCCAGCAGGGGAGAGCAGTTGG